GTTGGGTGGGAGGCCCTGAGCGCCGTGCCCGCCCCGAGGCCTCTCCCCCGCCCCTTCCCGTAACGGTCGGTCGGGCTCTCCGAGAGCCCTGTAATCACCACACGTCTCGTCCGATGTCCTTGTTTTAACAGAAGTGGAAACTGAGGCCCTCGAAAGTTGAGTAGTTTCCCCAAAGTCACAAAGCCTAGTTGGACCTAGACCCCGGAGGCCCCCCACCCTCTCCACCACCCGGAAGAGCCTTCCTTCCTTGGCTTCCTATTCTGTACTCCTGGCTTCCCAGCAAGGTAGGCAGGGCCGGATGGTGTACAGCCCCATGTTAGAAATCTGGAGGGCTCAAGGCATAGTTCCGTGTCCCTGGGCGAGTCCTGCGCCCTTGCTGAGGGCCATGGCGTGGGGGTGGGAGTGATGATGAGGTTGCCAGAGGAAGCTGGCTGTGGGTGTTTTGGCCTCAGGCGAGGTTGGTACCTGCCCACTTTGCTGAACCTCAGCCCAGCTGCATACATGGTGCGCAGCCCCAGTGAAGGGCAGGGCTCACCCCAACTTCCTGAGCTGGACCAGGAGCCAAGCACTGTCAAGTGAACGCATAAAAACCACCCCGGGGTGTGCTGGGAACTTGGGCCATAAGAGGCGCGGCCCTTCCCATGAAGTCCGAGCACCTGCCAACTGAGACGGGCCACCTGTGCTCAGAAGGCCAGATCTGTGACGGGCGAAGGGGTGAGCAAGGGGACAATTGAGCTGGGCTTCGAAGACCGAGTAGGTGTGTGTCTGCTGGAGAGATGGAGGAGGACCTTGCAGAGGGAGAAGATTCTCACGGTTTTCCTGCAGAAAACGGGCAGATACACACAGGAAGCCTTTGGGATGGAAACAGCTTTATTTTGTTGGGCCCTTGCTTTCTGCCCTGCATCAGCTCAGCAGGAGCTCGGGAACAAAGAGGCTTGGCTAAGCATGAAGGGGCTGCAGCAGGGGCTGGAGGACAAGCTAGATGTGAAGGAGCCCAGAGGAGGAAGAGCCTTGCTTTGTGGACAGGGAATGGCCACACTGGGGGCCAGAGCTTCAACCAGCTGGTCTTGAGCAGCCATCTCTATCTTGAGGCTTTCTCTTGGTGAGAGTCAGTGGGGTGGTTACAGTTCGAGCAGGAGCTGGGGGCTGGGGCCTGCTTTAGCCTCTCCCTTTTTCTCATCATCCTATGAGGAAAGGATTTTCTCAGTGCTCAGTTCACTGATGAGGAAGGAGAGGCTGAGTTTGAGAAACCTGCTTAGGAACATAGAGCCCAAAGAGGTAGAGCAAATACTAGAACTTTACTGTGAAGTGGGAGGCTCAGGCCAGGGGAGGAAGATACCCAGATGTGGGACTCCTGCTGCCCCTCCTCTGGCCCTTCTACCTCACCCCTTCTCCCATCTGCTTGCCTGTTGGCTGGCCTTGGCGCCTTGGCCTCGGCCAACTGAGGCCATTGGAACTCTACAGCCGAGCACAGTGGCAGGGAGGGAGCGGAGGGTGGCAACCTAAGGAAGGGAGAAGCAGAAGGTGGCTAGAGATTGCTCTGAACTGGCCCTAGGGCGGTGATGGAGCACCCAAACTGCAACCCAAAACCCACTTGTTTATCGCAAAGTGCCACCACTGCAATTAAACCCGAATACTGAGGTTTTCGTTTAGAGGAAACAGCTCACATCTGGCTCACATGCGGAGAGGGCCTTGCGTGCCTGCTGTGGCATGCATGTTAGAGGTTTGCCAAAACTGCCCTAGGAGACTGTACCCGATTTTCAGCAGTCCAGGGCTCCAGTTCAACTTTTCCTGGCCCTACACCTCCCTAGACTTTTTGGGCGGTCAGTCTGCACTCAGGACTCTATGCCTGCCCCGTCCCCATCTTCACAATGGGCAGATGGCTAATGAGCCCCGTGGCTGAGCTGCCTCTCCAGCCTGCTTCTAGTTTTGTAAAATGAATCTGTTGGGAAAGTAGCTGAGGAAGTCTATGAGATAAAGCTGCAAAAATAACTGTTGGTGTTCTCTTTTCACTAGCATCACAGTCCCGGACCACCCTTGACCATCCTCAATCAAAGCATGCATGCCAGGGATACCCCTGGCTTACTATTCTCAGCGCTGCCTCTTGTCTCCTCTGTCTTGATGCTGCTGGTGACTAGCCTGTGGCTGCTGGGAGCCGGCCCCAGCCTCATCCTGGTCCCGGAGCTGCTGCTGGATCCCTGGCAGGGTGAGGGCCAGCCTCATAGACCGTGGCGGAGACTGAAGGCTTGTAGGGCCTGACTCTAGTTGGTAGAAGCAGCATGTCTCTGCTGTGGTCAAGCAGGGACGAGACCCAGTGCCTGCGGGTTGGGGGTGTGGGGGGTAACAGGGGAGTCAGCCTTAGAAATGAGCGTGGCTGGTTCATCCACAGCCAAGAAGGGCAGAGGACCTAGCAGATGGGCAAGTAGAGAGGGAACCTGTTGGTAGGACTTTTTCTTTTTTCTCTTTTTGGTAGTACTGGGGTTGAATTCAGGGCCTTCACAGTATTACATCCCCAGCCTTTAAAAATTTTTTTAAATTTTGAGACAGGGTCTTGCTGTTTCCCAAGCTGGGCTGGAACTTGCAGCCCTGCCTCAGCCTCCCAGACTACTGGGATTACATGACTGTGCCACCAGGCCTGGCTAGCACTTCTGAGAGCATTCCTTTGACATAAAAAGTGAGGCTAAACAGGCTTTCGGCTAAGTATGAGGACAGGGAGTGGGCACTGGGGGTTTGAGGAGTGATCCCAGATGAACTTTTATTTCCCAGTAATAACCGCTCCAATTAATATTTAAGGAACTCAAATGATACACAGAGATTCAGGGATTTGTTCAAAGTCACAAAGCTGGAGCAGTGGGGGACTCCAGGATTGAGGCAGGCAGTCTCATCAGAACTTGTGAAGGATTCGATAAATATGAATGAATGCAGCACAGCTTCTCTGTGCCTGAGGCAGAGTGAAGGCTTAGCGGGTAGTCTAGTAAGAAGGTGGAGCGGTGGATCCCATAAACACAGCACAGGGGTAGCCACGGTGTTTGGAAGCCCCTGGTCCCCTCTGCCAGTTATGTGCTGGCAGTGGGCACACCGGTTCCTGATGGTCCTAGTCAGCGTTGGTACCTCTTCCCAACCGGTACGTGATCCCCTTTTCTCTCCCAGTGCACCGGCTGCTGACCCACGCCTTAGGCCACGTGACCCTGCCAGGCCTGCTCCTGAGTCTGCTACTGCTGCCCACTCTGGGCTGGTGGCAGGAGCGCCACCTGGGTACCCTGCGCTTCCTACACGCCTCCACCCTGCTCTCCCTGGCCACCGGGCTGCTGGCAGTGCTGCTGGCAGGCCTTGGGGTGCCTAGTGTGGGTGGTGGCTGTGGATACATGCCAGTCCACCTGGCCATGCTGGTAGGGCAGGGCCAGTGCCCTCAGTGGTTGTGGGGGGTGCTGCCACCTAGGCTGTTGCCCTGGCTGCTGCTTGCCTTGACCCCATTGCTGTGCTCTGAGCCACCCTTCCTGCAGCTCCTCTGTGGCCTCCTTGCTGGCCTGGCCTGTATCCTTTGCTGGATCCACGAACCTGTGTAGCCTTGTGGGTTCTGTGGCCAGGTCCCTTGGATGTCTGGGAAAGAAGTGGCACAGGAAGGGTCGGGCCACAGAAGTGCCAGGTGGTCGTGCACACACGTCACAGAGCAACTCGCGTGAGGACTGGGGCGTCGTGGCCAGGTGGACATGCCACTTTCAACTAATCTGGGCCCTGCCAGGAAGGTGGCATCTAAACTTTGGCACAAAAGAAAAGGTTTGGGTGAAGGGAAGTGGGACCGTGGACCAGGCACAGGAAGTGCAAAGACCAAGGGTTCTCCAGGAGTTGAGGACAACCTAATGGCCTATTGTTCAGGTGCCTAAAACATGGGGATTTGCTCCAGAGATGTTCAGTACTGGTTAGGGAAAGCAGTGTCATCAGAGAAAACAGGTTGACCCCTTGCAGTATTCCGGGAGAGGAGTCTGTTTCTGGTTGGGGAACGCTAGCTGCACAGGCCTGTGTGAACGGGGAGGATGTAGTTCAGTGGTAGAGCACTTGCTTAGAACATGTTCAATCCCTACCACTGGGAAGAAAACAAAAACAAACAACAGGGCAGGAGGCGGTCAACAGGAGTTTTCCTGGAAGATCCAGAGACCTGAGCACAGAGCAGGTCAGTGTGGCCGAGGGTGGGGGGAGCCAGATTTTGGTGGGGAGGCGCATCTGGCTCTTCCTCTTGGCCAAGTAGCTTCAGGCTGGCTCCCTTTTTCTGAACCTCTGCTGCTGACCGGGGTGATGACCCCTTTCCCTCAGGGCTGAAGTGAGTGCCTAGCACACTCTTGGCAAGGGCCCTAGTATGTGGGGCTGGTTTCAGTTTTCCTTGACCAGCTGCCCTGCCTTGGGCAGAGATAACACTGGGGTCTTCCGGTGGCTGGAGCTCTCAGAGTGGCGACTACAGATGTTGCAGGAAGGCATCTTGTGCCGGACCCTGGCCCGGTGCTGGCCGCTGAGGTTCCTTCCCACCCCAGGCAGCCTAGCTGAACTGCCCGTCACCCATCCTGCTGGAGCGAGGTGAGGGGGATGTGTGGTTCCGGCACTGGTGGTGGAAGCTCTCGAGGTGGCTGGCAGTCACACCTTCCGTCCCTGCAGGTCTGCTGTCCCTACCCCCTGGTCCCACAGTAAACGTCCAACAGAGTTCTCACCAGACCTGGGGCCTGTGCAGCTGACCAGGGAGGGTTCCTCGGAGGTGGATCTGGACTGGGCCAGGTCCAACTTTGCTCCAGGGACCCCACTGTGGATGGCCCTGGATGAGCAGATGCTGCAGGAGGGGATCCAGGCCTCGCTCCTGGATGGGCCAGTCCCAGGGCCCCAGGGCCCACTGTGGCTGCCTAAGTCCTCTGTTTCTTCTCTGCGGTAAGGGAGGGTGGGAGGGGATGGTGCCCCTGGTGTGGAGGCCGCGCTGGCCCTGACCTTCCTTTGTTTCACACCACCTCACAGGCTGCAGCAGCTGGAGCGCATGGGTTTCCCCACAGAGCAAGCCGTGGTGGCACTGGCAGCTGCAGGCCACGTGGAAGGTGCTGTGTCCCTCCTGGTTGGAGGACAGGTGGACACAGAGGCCTTGGTGACTGAAGGGAGGTGGGTACCTGCCCACCCGCAGGATCCAGGGCACCCCTTAGCAGAGGGCAGGGGAACAGGCCCTGCCTGAGGGCAGACAGCCTGAGCCCCTGTTCTTTCTACCGAAGGCCATACTGGGTACAGGCCCTCTCCCCACCCCCACCGGCGTGCTGTCTTGGTACTTGTTTAGAATAAACGCCATTTTTTTTCAGTCTGGACTCCTTGGACTTCTGATTTCTGCGTTGGCAGCGGGGATGAGTGAGTGAGTAGTGAGTGAATGAGCCCTTGTGGGAAAGCACTCCTTCATGTCGAGACACCAGGCTTCTGCCCTGCAGCCGCTTCCACAGAAACTGGCCTCCAGGGTGGGGCTGGACTCTCTCCAAGGTACAAGTCCCATCACTTGTTTCCAACCGATGTCTGCCCATCTTTGGGCCTCAGCTTAGAGGGACCCTCCGGGGCTGCCTCAGTCCAAGCACAGCGAGACCAGGCTGGGTCGGACTCAAGTAGGGGCCTTTATTGGCCAGTACGTATCTACCCCCCAGTGTCTGTCACACACCTCAGGTAGCCTGTTCTCCATGTCCCCACCCTGACTGGGACACTAGGGAGGGACCGGAGGCTTAAGGGGCAGAACCGAGACAAGGAGCTTCTCACCACTGTCAGAAACTAAGTGGCCCAGTCTCAGGAGTGGGAGCCCAGCACCAGAAAATGAAAGATTGTTCAGGGAGGGGGCTCCTCCAAGTTTTCCTGAGGAGGAGGGAGACTGCCCGCAGCCCCAGCATCCCTGCACACACTGAGGGTGGGTCAGAGCTCTGCTCTTGGCTTCTGCAGTGCCTCTCGGCCTGGAAGCTGAGGAGACAGGAAGCCTTGTACCTCTACCCGCTCCCTGAGGGCCTGTATCACCCCATTTCGTAGAGGGAAAGAAAGGCCCAGGCCCCTGAGTGAGGCTAAGCCTGCCTAGGTTGTTACCTTCCTCAGTCCCCAGTCCCTGATGGGTTTCAGGTATGTACAGGTGTCAAGACTGAGACCTGCATACCCCTAAGGCCTAAATGGCAGAGGGACCCTGAGGACATTAATAAATAGGAACTGGTGATCCCTGCAAACAGCTGGCCAAGTCCAGGCTGGAAAGGGAAGCCTGGCGTGGTCCACCCTGAGGGGCCACCACTGCCCTCAGCCTCTCTCATTCCGGCTCCTAGGGGTGACGATCCGGTAGTTGGCTGTGTGTCCTCCCCTCTTGCCCCGAAGGAGGCCGGGGGCGCCCATGCCTCCAGGGCCTGCCCCAGACCCCAGCTCTGGTTCTGTTGGAAGGAATGAGAAGAAGGCAGTGTTAGGAGGTCCTTATGGGGTGCCCACCTCCTGGCCCTCTGGCAAGGGGACAGGACAAAGCGGTGCGCCCTGGCACTTGGGAGGCAGAGCTTCAGGTAAAAGGGGCACCTGCAGGCTGGTTAGTGCCTTCCTCCAGGACTTCTGAGTCCCCCAACCCAATGAGAACACTCAGGGCCTCTATTTGATTCTTGCTTTCTCAAGCAGAATGACTAGGTCCACCATGTTTACATGGTATGTTCAACATGTAGCACATGCTCCATTGAAAGTTCAGTTCTTAACCAGGCATGGTGGTACATGCCAATAATCCCAGTTCCCTGGGACGCTGAGGCAGGAAGATTGCAAATTTGAGACCAGTCTGGGCAACTTAGGCCCTTTTTCAAAAAAAAAAATTTTTTTTTGAAAAAGGGCTGAGGATGTAGTTCAGTAGTAGAGCACTTGCCTAGAATAAGTTCAAGCCCCAGCACTGGGGAAATAAAAGCAAATACAACAAAAATCATTTCATGTCATAACTGGCTAAACTAGAGCTAGGAAACAGAGTTGGTACCTCTGTCCCTCTTGGGTTAGGCCACCGGTTTGGAGAAAGGGCCTAGGAAGGGGCCAGGCTCTGCCCTTGACCTACTGTGCAGCTTTGGGGCAATCTGGACCCGTCGGGGCCTCAGCTGGCTTCTCTCTAAAATCAGGGATATTTCCAGAGAGATTCTGAGGGCCAGGCAACGCCAACAATGAGGTCAGTACCAATGGGGCTATGGTGATACGCTCCAATCTGGAGCGAAATAACTACCAGTATTTTTGCTACTGGAAAAGTCCTGTTTATCCTTCCAGACCCACAGTGGGAGCTGTCATCTAGGAAGCCTTCCGTGACTATCACCTCAGTCCCTCAGAATTCAATGAGCAGGGCAGGATAGGCTGTCTTCCTAGTGGGAGACGGATACTCAGAGAGGAGACCCCCACGATGAAGGACTTCGCTGAGAGCCATTTCTAGGAGAATTGTTTGGGCTCTGGTGAGCACCGATTTCTACCCTCACAACCGTAACTGCTAGGCCCATGTACCTCTGGACCGAGACTAGGTACACGGAGCAGGCAGGGATGTGTAGTCACTGTCAGAGGGCGTACTGTGCACAATGAGGGAGCGTGGGAGATGGCACAGAGTACCAGCTTCCATGCCAACTGGGGCCAAGTCCTGTCCCCGTCACTTTCAAGTTAGGTGGCCTCGGGCAAGCCACGCACCTTGGAGAATGAAACTCTTGCCATTTGCCACAAGTGGGTTTAATGTAACCAGGAGTGGAAAGTGGTTTTTACAGTGAATCTTGGATTATGAAGGTTACTAGGTTGGTATGGCTTTGACCCAGGTCTCCTGTAGTTCTGGTCAGTATGAGTTGATCATGATGTGAACAACTTTGGGGCCTTGGTTTTCCTGAGCCCTCCTCAGTGCCTGGCCAGGCAGAGGTGTCAGCAAACCTTTGCTGGGGGAGTCAGAGGACTAGCACTTGAGAGGACCGACCTAGGGTGGACTCCTGGGTCTTACTGTTCTATTCCTGTGACCCTGAGGTCTTGTAAGGTCTCAGATCTGTTTCTTCATCTTTAAAATGGGCATTGCTCACCTGACAATCTTATTGTTTCTTGGTGGGTAGTACTGGGGATCGAATTTGGGTCCTTGCGCTTGTGAGGCAGGCGGCGGCACCACTGAGCTACGCCCCCCGCCCCTTCTTTTGCTTTTAGAGACAGGGTCTCACTTTGTAGCCCAGGCTGGCCTTACACTCATGGTGACCCTTCAGCCTCAGCCTCCTAAGTGCTGGGATTACAGGTGTGCACCACCACGCCTGGGTTTTTTGTTTTTAAAGCTCATTTTAGGATTGAAGATGATTACGTCACGTCCTCAGCCCATGTGGCCCACAGAGGTAGTAACTGTTACTATCACCATTATCAGTAGCGGCAGCAGCATTTGGTGCTGGGGATTGAACCTAGCACAATCTGTACTGATTATAACCTAGACACGAGCACCAACTGTCTTTTTTTGGTGGTGCTGGTACTGAGGATTGAAGCAAAAGCCTATGTATGCTAGGCAAGTGCTCTACTAAACTACATCCCCAGCCTTTTCAAAATTTTATGTTTGTTTTTTGAGACAGGGTCTCACTATGTAGTTGAGACTGACCTGGAACTCACTCTGTAGCCCACGCTGGTCTCGAACTCACAGAGATCCCCCTGCCTCAGCCTCCCGTGTGCTGGGATTACAGGCATGCGCCACCACGCCCGGCTCAAAATTTTATTTGGAGATTAAGTTTGACTCAGTTGCCCAGGCTTGTTTTAAACTTGTGATCCTTCTACCTCAGACTCTCAAGTAGCTAGGATTACAGGTGAGAACCGCCATCTGGGGCTTTAGGTAGCACCTGTTGAGTATGCTGGGCTAATATACAGAGGGTTCCAATTAATTCTCTGTTCCCCTTTCGTGTACCTCTTCCCCCAGGGCCCGACTCCTGCTGTCTTGAAAGGCCATTCTCCTGGGTGTGTGGTCACTGAAGGGGGAACGGGCTTTCTCAGATGCCTGGCACAAACGTGTCCTTCTTGGCTCTCGACCCAGTCCTCTTCAGAGAGGTCGTGGAGGACACCTAAGAAGGCACTGAGAGCTTGGGGTTTCATGCTTTGTTCCCTAGAATCCCTTGGGCTCCTCGGAGCTGAGGGGTAGGAGGCAGTAAAGCAGCGGGAGTCTGGGCGTGTCTTCCCTGAGACCTCAGGGCTCCCCCAGTGAGGAGGAGATGGGCTTCCCTGGTTCCTCCGTGACTACACGAGGGAGGAAGGACCGGGAGATAGTCCTGATGTCTCCAGAAAGTGGCTTGTGGGAGGGGCTTGGCAAACAGACTGCACACACTCTTTAACCTAGGCCTTTGGCCTTTTGAGGCTGTCAGGATGTCCCTCCATCTCCTCTGCCTGGCACACCAGAAGTCGTTCACGACCCGATGCAAGTGTCTCCTCTTGCAGAAGTTGTCCCCGACATTCAGTGAGAAGTGAGTTTCCTCACCCATGGAGTGCTCTCTTCCCCCAAACCTCTATAGATACTGAGGGCTCGCTGCCACTGATGGGTGACGCCCGCAGGCAGGGCCCCAGCTGCTCTGCAGGGCCGCAGCACCCACCGCAGCCTGGCATTCAACACATGTGCTGGACGAAGGAGGTTCGGCTCTAACCTTGACCCTCCCTCCCTGAGTTTCTTCTGAGGTTGGACATGATGTCAAGCCCTGGGTCCTGTGATCATGAACTGTGGGGTGGAGTGGCTAGAAGTGGGTGAAGAGCAGCTGGGAGACTTCTAGTGGGTTGGTGAGGAACAGCCAAGCCCTGAGGGCAGCAGAGCCCTTCCTCTACCCCGTATCAGCCATGGGCTCTGGTTTTACGAGATGTCCTCAGCCTTATCTTAGACAGGGAGGGGTACTGTCTTCCTGGAATCTTGCCTTCTCCCATGCCACCCTGACCTGCCTTCTAGAACCTTCTCAGATTGGAGCCTGTCAGATTCTCCAGCCCCAGCCCTCACCTCTCACCTCTCAGCAACACTGAGGAACAAATCCTCCAGGGTCTCTGGTCTCGGCCTTTGCTCTTCTTCTGCCTGTTCCCTCTCCCCTGACCCTTGCCCTTGAGGTGTCCACTGAGACATCACCTCTTCCGGGAAGCCCTCACCACCCCCTCACCGATCTGGGCCAGGAGCACTTCTGGGTTCTCCCAGGTGCCTGTGCTCAATCCACCGGGGATATCTCTCCTTCGGCACCACTGCCAATGCCAGGGCTCTCTCTGGCCCCCAGCCCCCTAAACTACGAAGGTGGGACTCTGTCCATCTAGTGTGTTGGAGCCAGTGCCGGCAGATGCCTGACACAGAGCAGATGCTCCTCACTGCAGCGCTAGTTACCAGAGCCTTTTCTGTGCCAGTCACCATCTTCTGGATGGGTGGAGGACGAAGAAGGAATGTCCGCTGGTCAGGTCAAGCACTGGGAGGTGCCTCCCGCATGCCCAGGCCCTGCCCAGACCCTTCTTAGAAGGGCTGCCCCTGCCTGCCCACCCTGCCGTTACCTGGCCAGATGATGGCTTCCAGCAGGGTGACCCGTCTGGCCAGGAGCTCCAGCTGAGCCTGCTGTTGCAGGAAGCTCTGTAAGCTAGGAGCCTGATGGGAGATTGAGAAGAGCACACGGTGCGAGGCTGGCCTCCGAGGGCTGGGCCGGGGAGCTGAGGGGGTGGCTGGTGGGCAGGTGCTGGGACTTCCGTCTTCCCTCTCAATGTGGGGACAGGACCTGCCTGCTTCCTCAAGTGACCAGCTAGGCGGGGAATTTCTAGAGAATGCTGGAGTGTCTGGCTCTCCTGACCCCCTAAAGGGAGCTGCAGGGCAGATTAGGAGGACTAAAGTGGAAGCTGCAAGGGGGGTATGGAGGGCCAGGAGGGATTGGGGGGAAGTGATCAGACCTGGTAGGTGGTGAATTACCCAGAGTCCCCTGAGGTCTGAACCCGGTTCTGTCGTACACAGTCCCCTGCACTTCTGGAGTCTAGTTCTGTGACTACTTGTCCTCTATCTCTGTCACCCCTGATTTGCCTAGAGCTGAAGACTGTGAATCTAGATCCATTACCCATACTCCTCTGACTATTACCCCATGATCCCCTGCACTGCTGAAGTCTGGCTCTGTTACCCACAATCCCTTACTGATCTGGGGTTTGGTTTCCATTGTCTATAATTTCTTCCAAACTCACAATCAGTCATACCTGGTTCCACGCAGGCCTGGCAATCATGTTACCCACAATACCCAAAGCCCCACGTCTGACCCCCAAGTAGGGCCTGCGTTTCTAGGGCCCTCTTCACCTGTGCGGGAGACGACTGGTCCCTGGAAGGTGTGTGGTCTTGGCCTCTCAGGTGCACACCTGCTTGGTGGCACAGGTACTTTCTCCAGCCTCATGACTGGGCCCAGGCCAGTTCTACCCCAGGAGGGCTTGGGGGAGGCTGGCAGGCAGGGGCTGGGCTGTCTGTCCGTCTGTCTGTCTCTACTCACCATAGAGCCCAATCATTGTTTCCAAGATTAAAACCCTCTCAGCTAAAATCTTCAAAGCCTCGCGTAGCTGGTGCAACCCCTCCCCCTGCGGAGGAAAGAGACAGATGCAGCCGTGAAGGGGCAGGGGAGGGCCCTGCAAAGCCTGTTGGTGGCCCAGGCCCCACCCGGGACGTGCACCTGCAGGCCCGCGCCACCTGCCGCAGCCCAGGGCCCATGGACAGCCAGAACAAGACCCAGAGGGGACAGGAGGGGAACGAGGCAGGCAGAAGAAATCCCTGAAAGGCCCCTCAGAAAGACACCTGAACCGAGCTGGCTGCGAATCCTGCCCTGAGGCCGGAGGAGCCAGTCAGCAGCCTCCCGGAGCACACTCCTCTCCTCTCTGCTGCCCAACTCCAGCTGTCCCCGCGTCACCTGCAGGATTTTCCCACCACAGTCCTACGCTTCTTTACTTCATCTTTTAAATTCACTTTTTGTCTTCAATCACCAGCTTAGCCTCACCGCAGTTCGCTCTTCTCAGTGAGCTCAGACTGGCTGCGGATATTTCCATTCACACCAAACTGAACAGAGATGAAAACTGAAAGTGTCTAAGGGGCCGAGAGTGCTGGAAAACCTGTGCCACTCAGCCAAATGTGCGCATCCCCACAATCCCAGCCTCGGGAGGCTGAGGCAGGAGGACTGACAAGAGTTTGAGGCCAGCCTGGGCTACACAGTGAGTTCAAGCCCAGCTACATAGCAAGACTCTGTCTCAAAAAACAAAACAAAGGGCCACTGGGCCATTTTGCTCAGTGGTTCCACCACCTGCCTCGCAAGCGCAAGTTCGATCCCCAGTACCAATAAAATGAAATGAAATAAAACACCCAAACCAAACCAAACAAAGCACCCCCACCAAGGAAATCTGTGGGTCTGGTCCAGAGCCCCTTCCCGGAAAACAGTGCTCATCCCTGCCAGGGACGTGAGAACAGCCCATATCCTGTACATGTTGGTGCCCTGCCCTCAGTTCCATCCCCTGAGTAGTGCTGCTGTGCTTCTCAGGCTTACCCTTCCCAGCTCTCAGGGATGTAGCAATGGGCCCTCCAAACTCCTCCTCCAGGAGCCAGAGACCACGCCGCCTTCCCCCCACTCTGCCCCTTCCTTCTCCCGCTCTGGGAGGCCTCGACAACTCTCCTCGCTTCCTCGCTCCTTCCTCTTGCTTGCCTGAGAACAAAGCTATTTCCAGAATGTAGGTATCTCAACTTCAACAGAGACCAGGATGAGGGCTATTCCAGTTCTGACAATGTCTAGAATTCTCTCTTGGAATCCTTTACCTGAACTGTATTAAGTAAAGGGATATCTAACATGCACATTTGTATAATTATAACCCAACATTTTAAAGTAGTTGTTCTCCAAAAAAAACATCTCCCTCCATTTCCCAGGGTCACAACGGGTTGCATGCCAATGAAACCTTCTTCAAGTATCACAGGAATAGGATCTAAAAATGGCTGACCTGCAAAATTTTTATTAATCTATTCTGAGCATGGACAATGGAACATGCGCGTCTTGATGAGATACAATCCAAGGACACCATATCCACCACATCCACCACAAATGCTCCATTGAGTACTTAACCTGCACTGCATCGCACTGTGAAGAACTCTAGACTTGAGACATTCACTAAAAGACAAAGTCAGGCCAGGTGTGCTTCTGCATGCCTGTAATCCAGCACTTGGGAGGCTGAGACGGGAGGCTCACCAGGAGTTCAAGGCTAGCCTAGGCTACTTAGTGAGTTCAAGGCAAGCCTGGATACATAGCGAGACCCTGTCTCAGAAACAAACAAACAATAAAAAACCAAACCACAAACAAGCAACTAAAAACACAAAAAGGTGTGATGGTGCACAGCAGTAATTTCCAGCACTCTCGAAGGCTGAGTCAGGAGGACTGTGAGCGTTTGGGCCCCAGCACGAGGTAACTTAGAGATTTAGTGAGACACTGTCTCAAAATTAAAAAATGAAAGAAACGCTGTGATGTAGCTCAGGGTGAAGGCCTTGGGTTCAGTCTTCAGTACAGGGGCAAAAAAGATCAAGAAAAGAAGAAAAGGACAGAAAGTCTGTTCTAGACTAAAAGAGACCAGAGACATGACAACCAAATGCAATATGTCAACCGTAATCAGAACTTGGATTTTAAAAAAGAGCTTCTGGGCTGGGAGTAAGCTCAGTGGTAAAGCTCTTGCCTAGCACGAGCCCTGGGTTTGATCCCTAGCACTGTGAAAGTAAACAAATCAGATAAATGGATAAATAAAATAAGTGGATCCCTAAGAGGAACTTTCTATGGCATTCTGGGGACAATCGGGAAGACTGACACGTAAGTCACACTTTAAGGGGCACCACGTTACTTAACGGTGTTAGTTTCTTAGCCATGACAGTTGTGTTGCAGTTATCTGAGAGAATGTCTATATTTTTTTAGATGCACACTGAAAAGTTAGGGAAGATGTGGGTGACATTTCCAGCTTACTTTCAGATGAATTAGAAAGAAAGGCATACAAACACATTAAGAGAAAAATGGCCGATGTGCAAGATGCTATTAATTGGTTGACAAAGAGGAAGGGCAAGGGGACGTCCGTTACATAAGCATTTTGGTATATTTGAAAAATTTCAAAGTAAAAATTGAAGGGAAAGTATTAAAAAAAAAAAAAGCCCCTCCCAGAAGGACGGCTTGCTGTGTGCACTGGTGACACACTGGTTCCCTTCCAGCCTGCTGTGCGTCTGTGCGCTGGATATAAGTGTGCAAGGCCCGCTAGATGCCCTCGCTGGGCCATGACACAGCCACGTCCCGTTGTTCCAGGGACAAACCTCGGTGTGCTTGCTTCTCCTGGCTCCTTTTGCTCTCTGAAATCCTCCTGACTGCTCGCCCCCTTTCGTAGCCAGAACCCGAGTCTGTGTCCCCGCTGCTCTTACCCCCGGTTCCAGCCCCCAGTCTCTCACAAAGGTGACCTAGCAGCTCCTGCCAAGTCCCTTTCTGCTTCTCCTACGCTTCCCTCCTCACCTGATCACTCTCCACCTGGCCACTAAAGAGTTACTTTGCAAACAAAATCGGCTAAGTCGCTCTCCTCCATAACAATACCTCCATGACTCCCCGGTACCCACAGAACAAAATCCAAACCTCCCAATATGACTTCCTAAGCCCTGACAGTCTCTTTGGGATCTGTCTCTCTCCTTTCCTGTCACACTGCTACCCCAAGTACTTGCAGCTTTTTGAATACCTGGGGTCTACTCTTTGCACACGGCATTCCCACTCTCCTGTCGATATCCTGTACCTGGCTATGCCCCTTCTGGGCCTGGTCTCGCTACTCCAGGAGGAGACTACAGTGTCTGCTATTAGAGCTGAATTTCCCGTCCCGTGGCTGCTGACTACAGGTCTCTCTAGCCATGGTGACCGCCCTAAGGATGGGGATTGTTTACACAATGATGTGTTTGCAGTACCGGCTAGGACCAAGTCTTGGCTTTGCCACGGATTTTCTCTGCATAGTTGGGTCTGAATTTCCTCCTTTGAATAAGGGATGAAGGCTTCAACCTACAGAGACTGCTCAGGCTGATCACGCAGTTACTACAGTGGACTCTATGACCACTGGGTGGCACTGCTGAGCCACAGCCAAGGCAGGCCGGGGCCTCTCAAAGCTTCAGCAAGGAAGCAATGGTAGGCGGAAGGAACCCAGGAGCCCTCAGAGACTCGCCAGAACTAGGCTCCCTCTTCTCCAACCCCACCTACCTCGAACAGCCAAAAAGCTTCATGCAACTCCCAGCCCAGCAGGTCCCCTCCTAAGCAGGCAGCAAGCAGCGGGAGAAGTGCAGGGGATGAAGGGCAGGAAGGAGGAGAGCAGGAGCAGGGGCCCTGCCACTTCTTGGGTGGCCTCTCCCAGGGGGGCCTTGTGCGCAAGGCCTGGTCTAGGTGGTCCAGGCACCTTGGCTCCTTGTCAGGCGCCCCATGCAGGAACAGAACTGCACAGCCTAATCCTGCCCTGACCTCAGCTCTTCCACCTTTCCTGTTCCCAGCCTGAGGGTCTCTGGGAGAGGAGAGTGAGGGGTCTACCTGAGCCCCAGATCAGCTCATTCCTACTCTGGCTGTAGTCTCAAGGTAGGCGGTCAGCAAGCACTTGGAGAGGTAGCAGAGCCCCAGAAGTCATGGACAGACGTGGGGGGAGGACTCATGCAGGATAGGGGCTCCCACGGCTGTATCCATCACTGACCTCACCATCAGTAACCAAGAGGGTGAGTTAGTATCTCACTAACTCACGACTGCAAGCTAGTAGGGTGTCCTGGCCGGACTGCAGGGGCGAGGGAGGGGTGGGGGAGGGAGCATGATACCACCTTCCAGGACAGCACCCACGCCTCTCTCCTGTGGGGGTCTGCCCTAATTCTGCCCATTTTCCAAGTGTCTCCTATGTCATCGGTTTCCAGGTCTCTGTACTGTGGAACTTAGGCACATGGTGCGTCTGTTCTAGGCTCCTGGTCCCTCCCTCATGTGTCTCCTGGAGGAGTAGAATTTTAGGTCCTGAAATTCACTCACTGCAATTATCTCCAATGATCACAATGGTTTCTAGGTGCCCACATGAGTCATGGGATTTCTCAGTGTGTGGTACCTAGGACTCCATTCTTTTTTTTTTTTTTTTTTTAGTTTTTTGAGGCAGGGTCTCACTACGTAGTTGAAACTGACCTGGAACTCACTATGTAACCCAGGGTGGTCTCGAATTCACAGTGATCCTCCTGCCTCAGCCTCCCGAGTGCTGGGATTACAGGCATGCGCCACCACACCCGGCTCTCCATTCTTGTTTCTCTATGTCTCTTGTGTATGTGACAATTTCTAGTCCCCCCGCTTGGTATTCTTTCTCTTTCCTTTGTATATCGTGGTGTCTAGATACCCTGATCCCATTTTTCATAGTTCTTTGCATGTGATCGTTTCTAGGCTTACCTTGCCATTCCTCATGGATCTCCCACTTGTGGATGGTATCTAGGACCTCACGTTATTCACAGGTTTTTTGGCTATACTGGCAGCAAGTCATTTGAACCTGATGTGATGGTGTCAAGACCTCCCTTCTCAGGCGTCCTAGATTTCTTGTAGGTATGGTGGTGTCTAGATTTCCTGTCTCTTTTGCTGTAGGGCCTCTGTGCATCTCACTGTTTCTAGGCCTCCCTTCCACTTTCCTAAGGCCCCCTATTCTGTCATTCCAAGTTGATACTGTCTTCATGCTTCCCCTTCCCCTTGACAGGTGAGTAGAAGTCAAAACCCTTTCTAGGAGGGGACTACGGTGGTAGGGGATGCAGTCTGGACTGGGTCAACCCAAACTACCCCGCAGCAACAGACGGAGTCACCCTGGCCCTGAAAGGCTACAGAGCAGAGGTGGAGATAGGGACAAAGACAGAGACAGAGAGTGGTGCGGTCGGCTGACAGGGCTAGTCCTGCCCAGTTGGGAGTGACAGGAGGGGGAGGGGCTAGGGCAGGGGACTGTGCAGGTGTCGGTCTGGGTGACCAGGCAGTAGAGGGGATGTGGACGGGGAACCCCCACTCCCAGGGCCTACTGGTGAGAGAATTCTCTCCTGAGCACCCAGGGTGGGAGAAGACTAGGGGAAGCCAGGGCTGGACCAGAGCTTACCCAGTGGCTCTTCTCACCAGGGTCTCCTTTGGGGCCAGGTTCTCCCTGCAAGGAGAGACAGAGATAGAAGTAAGGTAGGGAGGAGGGTGGCAGAGAGGGACAGAAGACAGAGAGAAAGACCTAGAGAAGCACAGAAGGGCGGGGTAGGGATGTAGTGCAGTGGCACAGTGCTTGCCTAGCCCCACACCACCCCAGACAAAAAAGGAGAAAGAAAGAAAGAAAAAAGAAGTATGGAGAGTAGCTTATATTGAACTAACATTAGACAACACACCAAAAACCACTGAAGGCAATGGAAACTGAAAGACAGCCAGGGCCGGGATTTAGCTCAGTGGTTCCGCCGCCTGCCTTGCAAGCACAAGGATCCAAGTTCCTGGCACCAGGAGAAAAAAAAAAAAGACAGCCAGAAGCCCTTGGAAGAATGTTCAAGCAATGGATCAAGTGGGATCTACTGGGTAAAACTCATATATGCACGATCTTTTTCTCAGAGGTACAGCCTAGCAAATAGAGCTCAAGACTGGTCTTCAGTTTTACTGGCTTGAGGAGTAAGAGGCTGGAGTTGAGGCTGCTAGAGAAGCTGGAAACAGAAGAATAATCCCGGGAAAGCAATGGGCCACAGAGGGGGAACAAAATCTGCATAAATGCTCCCATCTAATCCTTGGAGGATTCCTGAACTGTCCATCCATTGGGCAAAATCCCAGGGAGTCCAGGAGAGAAACAAAAGGTTAGTAGATCTAAGGATATATTTCAACAATTTCCTACACATAGGATACAGAGTTTGGAGCACATATGCCTTTCGAATGAAACTCCAGAAAGTCCACAGTTTTGTTTTTGTTTTTTTTGTACCAGGGACTGAAGAAGTCTGTAGTTTAAGAGATAAAGACTACATCCTAGGACTAGGGATTTTCCCTAGGATCAAGGGCAAAGCTAAAATGGACTTTCTCTGATAAGGCCTACAACTAAGTCTCTAAAAGAGTAACATGATCGGTAAAAACTGTGCTAGATGAAAACTCAACACTCTACAGAGGAAAAATGGAATTCAGAGTATCTTCAATATATTATCCATATTGTCCAGGATGCAATAAAAAATTACTAGATGTAAAAAAAAAAAAAAAAAAAAAAAAAAAAGTGTCCTATAGTCAAGAGAAAAACCAGTCAACAGAAACAGACCCATAGCTAACTCAGGTGTTATAATTAGCACATAAGCAATTTAAAATAACTGTGACAAATATGTTAAAGAATCTACTGAAATTGATGTAATAGGTGAAGAGATACAGCATTTTGGGAGAAATGTGTAAATTGTAAAAAAGGAATTAAGTGAGAATTCTAGGAAAAAACATTCATTGGATGTGATTAACATAAGACAGTTTGGCCAGGGATGTAGCTCAGTGCTTCCACCACCTGCCTTGCAAGTGCAGGGACCCAAGTTTGATCCCCCAAGTACCTCCCCCAAAGAAGACAATCACAACAAAATAATCAAATCAAAGACAGACTAATGGAACAATTTAAACTAAAGCACGGAAGGAAAGGATTTCTAAAAAACTGGACTGTGGGTGAACTGGAGTAGTAGAGTGCATGGTTAGCAGCACAGGCCCTGAGTTCAATCTCAGGCAGAAAGAAAAAATTAATAGTACCTCAGTGACTCATGGGAAATTACCAGTTGGAGTCCAGAAGGAGTGAAGAGAAAATTTTCTTTGCTTTTCTGTTTTTTGTTAATAGTGGCAAAGTTTCACATTTACTAAAGGTAGAAAAAAATAGGCCCTGTAGAGAGAGTTTGGGCCAAGTACAAATAGGAAAAGGACAGGAAAAAAATGTAAAATATACCCTACAATGTAGGTTGAAGAGACACAATAGCCAAAACAGAAAATTTTCTACGAGAGCTGGGGATGTAGCTCAGTGGTGGAGCACTTGTCTAGCATGCATGAGGCCCTGGAGTCCATCCTTGATCAAAGAAAGAAAAAACAGCCTGGGCATGGTGGCCCATGCGTTCAATCCCACCACTCAACAGGCCAAGTCTGGAAGACTGCTGGAGTCTGAGGCCAGCCTGGGTTGCACAGTGAATTGAAGGCCAGCCTGAACTGCATAGTGAGACCATGTCTCAAAAAACAAAAGCAACAACAAAAACAAAAACAAAACAAAAAAGCAAACAAGCAAGCAAGGAGGGAGAGAGGAACAGAAGATTTTTTTCTAGGGATTGAACTCAGGACCATGCACCTGCAAGGCAGGAGCACCACTACTGAGCTAAATCCCCAGCCCATACCTTTTCTTCTTCTTCTTCTTCTTCTTCTTCTTTTTTTTTTCACAAAGAAGAGTATTTCACAACACATAAAAATTCTTTTTTTCTTTTTCTTTTTTTTTGGTACCGGGGATTGAACTCGGGACCTTACACTTGCAAGGCAGGTGTAGGAACCACTGAGCTAAATCCCAGGCCCACCATTCTCTTCTTAGTAAGGCCTGCTCTCAGGAGAAATTAATTTGCCTGAGCCAACATGCTGGGGTTTTATTAGGGCCTAACCAACATGGAAGAATGGAAATAATTCCTGTTCTCTCTAGCTTTCTATGCAGGAAAAAGGAAATATCTAACGCTAACCCCCCCAAATATCCCAGGAAGGGTAACAAAACAAAAATATGCAAGCACCCCATTAGCATTGGTGAAGTTTATAGTGCAGAGGCACAGGCTGACACAGAGACTAATTATCAGACTGCAGAACACTTCTCCTATCCTCACACCGTGCCACTGCATTACTAACGGCCTATTTATCACTGTTTGCTTTACAAAGTATATCATATCCATCTTTCAACAAAAAGTTACACGGTACAGCAAAAAGCAAAAACACAGTCTTGAATGCTGAATAAACATCAGAACCAGAGCCAGAAAGGATAGGAATGTTAGAATTACCAGAACAAGAATTTTTTAAACCTATGATACTAAGGGAAATCTTAATATGCTAAGAGAATTAATGGAAAAAGTAGACAACATACAAGAAGTGACTGCTTGTATGGAGAGTTATAGAAATTCTAAGACATAATAAAAAAGAAGTGCTAGAGACCAAAGGTATTGCAACAGAAATGAATAATCCCTTTGATGGGCTCATCAGTAGGCTGGATGTGGCTAAGAAAACAATCTCCAAGCTTGGCCATATTACAAAAGAAATCTCCAAAACAGAACACCAAATAAACAGGGAGAAAAATATTCAGGACTTGTAGGACAGCTACAAAAAGTATAAAGATACAAAATGGGAATACATGAAAATGAAAAGGGAAAACAATGTAAGCAATACCAGTTGTAATGACAGAATGTTGCACAATAATGTCACAAACAGGCCGGGGATTTAGCTCAGTGGTTCCACTGCCTGCCTTGCAAGCGCAAGGTCCTGAGTTCAATCCCCGGTACCAAAAAAATTAAAAAGTCAGAAACAAAACAACAGGTTAGGTAGCTCAAAGAACATCAAGCAAAATGAATATGAAAAAAAAAAAAACACCAAAACCCTGATAGCTAGGCATATGTCATAATCAAATTGGAGAAAATCAAAGATAAAGAAAAATATTAAAAGGAGATAGAGGGAAAAAACACCTTATTTATAGATTTATGAAATTACACTAAACTTCTCCTTAAAAACTATGAAAGTGAGCCGAGGATTTAGGTCAATGGTTCTGCCTCCTGCCTTGCAAGCGCAAGGATCTGAGTTCGATCCCCGGTACCCCACCAAAAAATCCCCCCCCCAAAAACTATGAAAGCAAAGGAGAGAATGGAGTGCAGTATTTGTTGAGAGAAAAGAAAAGCCTCCCAGAGTGCTGAGGTTATAGGTGTGAGCCATCACACCTGGCTAAAGGAATATAATTTCTGGTTAAGAAAGGAAAGAAAATTGAATCATACAGCCAATAAAAACCACAAAAGGCAGAAGACTGTGGAAGACAAAACCAGGAACAAAGAGCAGGATCAAGAAACAGAAACAGCGGGAAAAATGTTAGATGCTAATCCAATTATTTCTATAATTGCTTTAAACACTGGTGGTTTAAAAATGTCAATGAAAAGGTGAAAACTGTTCGAGTTAAATTGAGACATAGCTTCGTGCTGCCTACAAGAATAAAGGTAGCATGATACTTATGAAAGGACAGAAAAATAGGTCAGTGTGACAGAATAGAGTCCAGAGGTAGAGTCACACAAATTAGTCACCATGTCTCTGACTAAGGAGCAGTCAATACACTGAGTAAAGCTGGTCTTTCCCGGAGTTAGTGTCGAAATGTGGACATCCATTCGTCCACGTGAATGCAAGAAATGAATCCAGACGGGCACAGGGGCACATGCCCATAGGCCCAGTCGAGGGAGTCTGAGGGAGGAGGATTCCTTGAGCCTGGACATTCAAAGCCCATCTGGGGAACATAAAAAGATCACAGACAGACAGACACAGATGGACAGAAACCTATAAATGAACCTCACACGCTAACAATAATTAACAAAAAAAATGGGTCACTGACTTAACTGTAAACACAAAGTTATAAAGCCCTTAGAGAAGATAATGTGGAAGAAAACCTAGATGGTCTTGGGTATGATGATGGCTTTTTTTTTTTTTTCTTTTGGTACCGGGATCGAACTCAGGACCTTGCGCTTGTGAGGCAGGTGGCGGAACCTCTGAGCTAAATCCCCAGCTCAATGATAGCTTTTATTTGTAACACCAAAGGTATAGTCTGTGAAAGAACTGATAGTCAGGCTTATTTAAAACTAAAAAGTTCTGGTTTGTACAATGTCAAGAGAGTAAGACTAAAGAAAGGCTGGGAGAAAATATCTGAAAAAGATATAGCTGAATAAAAAAAAAAAAACTCTTAAAACTCAACAGTACAAAAATAAACAACCCAGTTAAAAAGTGGTCAAAAGACCTGAAGGGACATCTTACCAAACAAGACATACAGACAGCAAGTAAACACGTAAAAGGATGTTCAAAATACACATCATTAGTAAACTGGAAATTAAAACACCGACGTAAAACAAAAACAACCTCCCCTCAATAAAATACCACTACATGCCTATTTGAATGGCAAAAATACAGACTAGTGAGTGAAACCACCAAAACTGGCAAGGACCACAGCAGCTATGATTCATTCCTGGGAATGCAAAGTGGTTACAGCTACTTTCGAAGGCTGATCGGTGGTTTCTTAAAAACTAAACATATTCTTAAGCTGGGTGTGGTGATGCATGCCTATAGTCCCAGCTCCTTGGGAGGCCAAGGCAAGAAAATCAACTGAGCGCATGAGTTTGAAGTCAGCTTGCCTCTGTCTCTTAAAAAAACAAACAAAACAAAACCTTACCATATGATCCAGCAGTCCTGCCCACTGGTGTTTTGCAAATGAACTGAGAACTCGTGTCTATATAAATCCCTCCCCATGACTGTTTACAGCGGCTTTATTCATAATTGCCCGACTTTGGAAGTAACCAAAGTGTCCTTCAGTAGGTAAATGAACGCAGACAGTGCAGCATTATTCAGTGCTCAAAAGAATGAGCTGTCCAGCCATAAAAAAGACACGAAAAGTTTAAAACCATATTACTAAAGGAAAGGAAACCAATATGAAAAGGCTTTGTCGTGGGATTCTCACCATATGGCCTTCTTGAATAGGTAAATCTATGGAGACAACAAAAAGATGAGTGTTGGCTCAGGTGGTGAGGAGCAGGGAAGGAGGAGAAGGCGGGCACAGAGGGGTTTTAGGCAGTGAAACTACGCTGTATGATAGTAAAATGCTAGGCACACCGTACATCTGCCAAGAGCTACAGAAGGCACAACGCCAAGAACCAACCCTAATGCTACGTCAGCTAGGTCCACCAATTGTGACAAATGTCCCCCTAGGGGACAGAGATACTGATAGTGGGAAAGGTTGAATAGAAGAGGGAATAGGAAACTCTGTACTTTCAGTTTTCCTGTGATCTTAACATTGCTTTCAAAAACTTTCTTTTGTTAAGAACAATGGAGCCAGGCCTGGGATTCAAGCCGGGGATTTAGCTCAGTGGCGCCACACCTGCCGGGGAAACACAAGGCGGGAGTCTGATCCCTGTACCTAAACAAACAAGGAAGCCCGCTGTGATGGCGCACACCTGTAATCCCAGCACTTGGGAGGTTGAGGCAGCCTGAACTACATGGTGAGACCCTGTCTGAAAAAAGCAAATCAACCAATCAACCAACCAACCGCTCACCGCAAACCACCACCACCAAAATCCACATTGTACACTGCTACTATTTCCATTGTGAAGACGACAACAAAATGACTAACCAAAATCAAAACAAAACCTCACAGATCAAGGATCACAGTGAGCTCAAAGCAGAATATAAACACAAAGAAAGTTGCCTCTAGCCACATCCAATCAATTCTGCTGAAAACTAAGAATAAAGAGAAAATGTTAAAAGTCTGATGCGGGGGGATAGTATTACATACAGGGGAACCAATGAAAGTTAAGTTTATAATGAGAAATTATAGTTATGGTACATTATAAAGTGCTAAAAAGAGAGAAAACTCTGTGTGTGTCTGTACATATATGTGTATATATATGTAAATATACATATGTATTTATATTTGCATAATTAATTCTTTTTAAAACCAGGGGCTCCACACAGACCTATGCCCCGGCCCTTTTTTATTTTTTGAAATAGGGTCTTGCTAAGGCACTGTTATAGTTTATATCTAGATGTCCCCAGGGGCCTCATGCTCATAGGTGGGGCTTTTGAAAGGTGATTGGATTCTGTGGGTTTACAGCTGGCTTGCTGTTAAGTGGTGGGTTTGGGGGCTGGGATTACAGGTGTGCACCACCACACCT